TCATTACTCTACCTAATTTGCATAATAATTTATTGCTCAGCTTCCCACCAATTTTTTTCCACCATTATAAAACTTGGTACATGTGTGCCCTGGAACAACACACAGGCCTAAACATATGCATAATACTGTGGAATACTTTATTTTCGCTGGAATTAATTTTCGCTGAAAAGGCTTTTTGGGCATTTTGTATGAATTTTATTTTCACTGATCTTTGATGAGTTTATTGTGAAATATAGGGAAAAAAGTATATTCGCTGGATTTTATTTTCACGGAATCATCCCTTCAGCGAAAATAGCGAAAATAAATTCCAAGCGAAAATAAAATATTCTACAGTAATTCATTTAGTTCATTGGGGGTAATCCACAGACATAATTAGTTTAATGTTGAAAAACATGGATATTGATTATTGTGGAATACTTTATTTTCGCTTAGAATTAATTTTCACTACCGGTATTTTCGTTGAAGGAATGATTCAGTGAAAATAAAAACCACTGAATATACATTTTTTCCCATGTTTTACATCCAACTCGTCAAAAATCATGAAAAATTAACTCCATACAAAACACCCAACAAAAACTCTATTCTATTTTACAATATTTAATTATCATTAGCCCATTTCTGATATCTAAAAAAATCCGATTTAAATCATCACAGAGGTGCTCTGGAATTAATTAGACTGAAAACAACACATGTAAAATCAAATGTATTTTCTGTATGTATTATAAATTTGGATAATGTGAATAAATATTAGTTGCCAAGCTTGTTTGACAATCAAATCTTTAAAGTTTGAGCACACAGGAGTTTTTTCTAAGCTTTCTTTGACTTAACATGTTATTTGATTGACATTGTTCTGACTGACATCCACAACAAATGGTACTATCAAGTAGTAAATATAAAACAATATGCAATGGATACATGACTGTGAGTTACTCAGAGTACGTCAGACCTATGTATTAGCTGTTGTAAAACTAAGTCAATGTTTATCCTGATCCACATTGGGCCATTCCAGTTTATAACTGCACCCCCCCCCCCCCCCCCCCCCCTGTTGATGACTTGTGTGTTGTGTTTACTTCATACAGAGTATAATTTCCATGGGTGTATAAGTCATACAAAGTTTTATTTCCAAATCACCATTCACCATACAGTAATGGAAATCCAAAACTATAGTTCCTACTTATGGTGTTGATGAGTTCCTTTGTGCCACCATACAGAGTAGGATTCCCAAATATAACTCTCATATGCTAATTTACTAAGTTCAGATATAAACTGGAATGGCCCATTGTTGAAACACAATTTTGAAACTTGTTAAGTGTACAACTTGAATTGTTTCAAGTTGATGCAGACTTGTAACTGTGAATTTGTATCCACTAGATTGCACGATTGATGACTCAAATAGCCACTGTGAATAGCTATAAACTGAAGAAGAAGAAAGAAACGATGAAAGCGAGAGTTACTGATCATAAAAAGAAGGTGAGTATTGTTGGGCATCTTTTTATCCAAACTTTTGTGAAAAGTTAAATATTGTAAACTGCTTAAGAATTATTTTCATGATTTGGGAATTTTATCTCATTCGAGAAGACAAAATTTCACAAAAAGTCATCGACTCACAAAAACTTTAACTATCAAATAAAGGCAGTTTACAGTAGTTACCGTTAGAAATTTCCTCGTTAATGGCTGTTGTTGTAAAATTATAAAATTCTATACAAATGTGTCATCATATCATATTTGAAATCACAATATGAAATTTACATAACTGTTTTTCACATTACCATGGAAACATCTATTTACTAGAACAAATCTTTTTGTTTCTCTACTCTCCATGCTGCCTAAATTTAAGCAAAGATTCTTGCATTCTCATAAAAAACAAATCTTAATAAGTGGGTCAATTAAATTACATATTTGGCCATCAATACTCTTTTATACCCTTGGTAGTTTTTGTTCAGTTTTGAAGAAACAACTAGATTTATTCAGCCAATACGCTAGGCTTTAATTCATTACTGAAACCGTAAAAGTGGGTGGTTGCAGATTAGTTGAGCAGGGGCATGACAGGCAAGTGTGATAATACTGTAGAATACTTTATTTTCGCTTGGAATTTATTTTCGCTATTTTCGCTGAATGGATGATTACGTGAAAATAAAATCCAGCGAATATACTTTTTTTCCTATATTTCACATTAAACTCATCAGAAATCAGTGAAAATAAATTCCATACAAAACGCCCAAAAAGCCTTTTCAGCGAAAATTAATTCCAGCAAAAATAAAGTATTCCACAGTAGTCCCAAGACCATTATTAAAGTTTCATGAATGCTCTCAGAGTGTGAATTTAATAACAATTCACAGCCAAAGTGAAAGTTCAAATCCCTGTTTGTTTTTGGTCTTATAGCTGTTATTGTTGAGGAAAATGATTGGACTCCTTGAATACCCACATTCTTTCATGTTAGAGATTTTGAAAATGCGTTTGCAGTTGTAATTGTTGAATATTTACTGTGGGACAATGCTTTTGTTGTATTTCTGTCTCAAGTAAAGTATTATCTGTGCTTCTGTTTAGCTGTATATTCATGATGAACAATTGAAAACAAGACAGAAGAAAGAAAAGAAGGAAATGTACCGATTGATGGGTCAGATACAGAAAAAGAAATCCAAGCAGAAAAGAGACTGAACGTTACGAGCAAAAACTGGATCACTTTAAAATGATTGAAAGTAAATTATTCGGGGCTCAGTATTGACCTTTACAATAAAATGTGATCATGTGACTGTTCTAATGATATATTGAAAAAGATTTTTAGCAATGCAGGAAAAAAAAAATTGAATGACTCCAAAAACACTTACCCATAACAATATGTTTATATATATAAACATGCAGATGTTCATTTCTCTGATTTATTCAGTTCATGACAACAAAAAAGGTGTTTATTTTTGTTCAGTTTTAGTCAGAATAGTTATTTTGACTTTTTAAAAATTGCTTTGAAACGTAATGTAGAGGAAGAGTTGAAGACATATATTCTTTATTTTCTTGAAACAATGCAACATAATTTAACACAATAAATGAATTCTGAGGCATCATTTGATTTCATGATACGAAAGAACATAGTGAAGAGAGCCAGGTACAATTACTTTGTCATAGGTGTCAAACTGTCACAATTCACAATGCAAACCAGTTACATTACCACTTTGCAAAACTGTGAAGTACCATTCCTGGCAAATAAACACAATCAAATTTCAAGATTGTGGATAATATAAATTTAAGTGGTCCTAAATTAAGATTTTTCACACAATAGACACTTACTGTGTTAGGAGGCTTTGTTAGTCTTTAAAGGTCTGTTTGCATTGTTCATCTAAGGCCAAGATCCTTCAGTAATCTCAGAATAAAATGTGTGGGAAATTAAGGCCGGATAACTTTATTGTATAGCAGAATCACTTGAAAGCATTTTATGTTCTTAGCTTGATCTGAGAGTGATGTTTCACATATTTCCAAAGTGAGAATGCATTGACTGATACAGTTGTATTTATTGGTGACTTTCTATACTGGTAAACCATGTTTCTTATTCTCCATATTATATTGATGATACAATCTTGTGCCTCAACAATATATGATACAAATAAATAATTAAATTGAATTATCAAGTCCTGTCCTGTTGTAATATATTGTAAAGCGTCATGTCTGCCATAAATTCACAGCCTTGGCCAATCAGCGTCCCCCCCTCCCACTATAAATTCACAGCCTTGGCCAATCAGGTTTCCCCCCCCCCCTACTATAAATTGACAGCCTTGGCCAATCAAGTTTCCCCCCAACTATAATTTCACAGCCTTGGCCAATCAGGTTTCCCCCCTACTATAAATTCACAGCCTTGGCTAATCAGGTTTCCCCCCTACTATAAATTCACAGCCTTGGCCAATCAGGTTTTCCCCCTACTATAAATTCACAGCCTTGGCCAATCAGGTTTGCCCCTACTATAAATTCACAGCCTTGGCCAATCAGGTTTGCCCCTACTATAAATTCACAGCCATGACCAATCAGGTTTCCCCTCTGCTATAAATTCACAGCCTATCAATGATTTAAATTTTTTAGTTGGTTACTGTAAAATATTTAATTTTCGTTGAAAAGACTTTGGGTGTTTTGTATGGAGTTGGATGTAAAATATAGAATAAAAGGTATATTCACTGGAATTTATTTTCACTGAATCTTCCCTTCTGCGAAAATTAATTTCAAGCGAATCAGTATTCCGTTGTCATCACCATAATGTTTCACAACACAATAGACCATTTTCCGTTCACTGCGAGAATCACGCGTTATGCGTGAAATCGAACGTAAAAACAGGACAAACAAAGGTCATAGTGTCGTAGTGGTGTCAAACATCGCGTGGGATTCGACAAACGCGAAAGTATTTTGGGGGACATTTCCATGCTTAATAATGTGCTGTCCACATTTGATGATAGGCAATTTTGATTAAGTGAGGGTATTCGGAAGCAATATTCCTTTGTCGAAGATCGGCCGGTCAATGTAAGCTACAAAATAAAGAAATTCTAGTTCAAAATCAAATCGTTCGATTTTTGCGGCAGACGTTCGATGCGCGTCTTTCATGCATCTCGTGAGATCTCGCAATTGTACGGAAAATCACCTATTGGAAAGAAGCGTATTCATGTAACAAAGATTGGTAAATGGGCACAAATCTGAAATGTATATACCGATAGCCTTCATCATTAATACCAAAACACAAGAACTAAAACTGAAATTTCAGATGCAGTTTAGTTCCATTTATGAAATCATTACTCAGCGACCTAATACTCACTGATGTGTACATTGTGAACGGACTGTCAACTGTAGTGGCTATATATATGCCCTTGTTTAAATTGCCTTTAAAATCAAGCTTATATTTGAAATTGGATGACAAATCTTAAAAATCTGCGTCTACGTGGTCATGTTGGATTTGCAATACAAATTGAGTGTATTGTGAAATCCACACACTGTTGAATATTGGAAGTTCTCGCCAGCCACTCACTGCATACACACGCTTATAGTGTTCACCAAAACTCATCTCATCAGCTGTATGTCACAGAAATTGTACAGTTTGTGTAGTGTTTTTGTTGACACTGAAGATGAACTGATAATGAACCAGCCACCCAAAATATAGTACCTAGGAGTGAATTGACTCAAATTAGTGCTTTAACTGCAATGACAGGTTATCTTGTGTGTGTGTGTTGGTGATTGCTCCATGAAAATATGAATATTGATAATTGAAAGCATTTTTTAAAATATATTTTTGTAAACAAATCATTGAAAATGACACAGTCCCTGTTAAATTAAATTTGTGCTCGTCATATTAAAGCGGAGGGGTTGTCGCGAGCGTGTCCTTGAAACTTGAGTTCCAAGTGACGTATACAACAGATTGTTTATTTACATCAAAACACGTGTTCCGTGTAGTAGTAATATGGCCAAAAATTAAAACAGCCGTTATTCGGCCATCTTTGATCTGATTATGAAACACACTGATATGTATGATGTATTTGCCAAATACGAATGAAAATGGTACATAAATTGTGGAAATATAGTAGTAAGGCAAAAAGTCAGATGGCTGTCAATCGGCCATCCTTGATCCAGATTTTGAAACAAATTGTCATGGACATGCATCCTACCATGTATAAAGTACATGTATGTGCCAAATTTGAATGAAAACTGACAGAGCACGTCCAAGATACCACATAAAAAAAAAACAAGATGCCTGCCAGTCGACCATCTTTGATCGAATTGCGAAATAAATCATCATGGACATGTATCCTAACATGTATAATCTATGTACCAAGTTTGAATGACAACTGACAAAGCATGTCCAAAATACAACATTTTCAAAAAACAAGATGGCTGCCAGTCGGCCATCTTTGATCCAATTGTGAAATAAATCATCATTGACATGTATCCTAACATGAATAATCTATGTACCAAGTTTGAATGACAACTGACAAAGCATGTCCAAAATACAACATTTTCAAAAAACAAGATGGCTGCCAGTCGGCCATTTTAAATCGAATCGCTAAACCACTGCATGTGCACATGCAAAGAATGAACGGAATCGGTCCACAGGATTCTGAAATATGACTCTGGACAGACTGACACACGGACCGACAGACGGATAGACTCAGGAACTCACGGACGATCGGGGACATATATCCTAACATGTATGATCTATGTACTAAATTTGAGTGAAAACTGACAAAGCATGTCCAAAATACAACATTTTCAAAAAACAAGATGGCTGCCAGTCGACCATCTTTGATCCAATTGTGAAATAAATCGTCATGGACATGTATCCTAACATGTATAATCTATGTACCAAGTTTGAATGAAAACGAACAAAGCATGTCCAAAATATATATATATGACTCCGATATGACTCCGGACGGATGCACGGACGGAGACCGAATTACAAGTCCCCGTTTTCGGACTTCGTCCGAACGGGGACTAAAAAACTCTTGATCTCCACTCATGCAATCAAAAGATTAATAGTACATACTTCACAGTAATCACAATGCACTGAACATTTATTAGAAATATATCAGCAAATATACAACTAATACACCCTTTAACTTAAAAATATTATTCAAAACTGTTGTAATAGTAACAAATCGTTTTGATGAATTGAAGATTGAAAACAAATTGACCCATTTGTTGTTGACAGATTGTACCAATTTGGTTCAGTTCTGGGGGGGGGGGGGGAAATCTGTTTCTATAGATACAAAGATATACGTCTGTTTTGTGAAAATACCGAGCAAAACTCCAGAAGCTCCAGTTTGAAATCAAGACTTGACAACTGGATTGTTTAAGTTCACAAGGTAAATTTAAAAAAAACAAATTCTAGCTCTATTTCTCCCCCTATACCAAGCTCCCTCCATCTGTTTATCCCAGGCTCGCTACCACTAATAGATTTTCTATCCTATTTTTTTGGAGGAAGATGGGGTACTCTCCCCAAAATCATAATTCTGTTGAAGTTTATAGCGATTTTATTGACTCTATAGGTCACATCCTGGTACTTTCTGGAAGTATTGTTACTCTATAACACCAATCATTTCCAATATTATATGTAAATTGCTGCCATATTTGTTTTTGAATTTGCATGTCAACGGCGCGAGTTTTGTGAAATTCTCATAAGTGAATTTGTACCCCCAAAAATACCAGGATGTGTGACCTTTTGAGGGCCATGCACAATCCAATACAGTGCTGATTTAACATCATAAAAAAATAAATCTTGTAAAGATAAAATCCAATGCATTTTTAAATTTTTATGAAATCTACATATACAACTCTACTGCTTTAGACTATTAAAATCATAGACTATATATAAGTCTTCTTTTTTAATATTCAAGCATATATATTCACAACATTACAGTATACAGAGAAATCAGATTTAGAAGTCGATTCTCAGGAGTTTTACAGCCATGCTAATCTCACAAATACCACATGTTTATTTAGCAATCACCTTGCTACTACCTTGGCAGATTCGGCCCATGCAATTAAATTCTGCCATCTTTTGTAATTCAACATGCTGTCATTGTTGCCATATGTTGAGCTAACTGATTGTATGGCTGCATATTTTACAATCACAGCCAATCAAATTTATCTATTTTACCAAGGTCAAATATGTGACTTTTTCGTAGGAATACAAGTCTGTAAGTTTGGGAGTATGACATGAAGTTCAGGAATTGTGTAATTTGAATGATACATAACTGGTACCTGGTAGCGTTACCATATTTCATTGACATACAGTCTATAGATTATATCTACAAACATTCTGATGTTAGAAGCATGCTTAGTATCCACATACAAGATCATTCATGGTTAGCGTATTTCTTTTTTTACAAGCTCATGCACTATATTAAAATAGTAGTTTCCATATATGGAGCTATTTTCTTTTTCATATTTTTAAACTTTTTATGTACTGTAGAATACTTTATTTTGGCTTGGAATTTATTTTCGCTATGTTCGCTGAAGGGATAATTCCGTGAAAATAAAATCCTGCGAAGATACTTTTATTCCTATATTTCACATTAAACCCATCAAAAATCAGTGACAATAAATTCCATACAAAACGCCCTAAAAGCCTTTTCAGCGAAAATTAATTCTAGCGAAAATAAAGTATTTCACAGTACTTGATTTACAATATGAAACATTTAGGGTGAGAAATTGTTGATGTTAACAATACAGAGAATCAAGAATATAATTGGTCGCTCATTATGAACCTCTTTTTCAGCTGTGATGACATACCCACAATACTACATGGTTATATGCCACGTAAATCAAGTGGTCGCCCACACACACACACACATCGGACACAATTCATATGTATGGAATTACATAGCTATCATTATCTTGTCACTACATTACATACGTAACTATATGAACTCTTGTTTAACATTAAAACTATCAATTATGCCCTCTAATGATAAGTACAATCAGTGACATAAATGGATGACAGAAATGGCGTTCAAATCATTGATATCGTTTTGTTCTGTAGTAGTCAATCAATGAAGATTATGTTTTGGGAGATTTTACTATATTCTAGATGACACAATTCTACATAACTAAACACAGTCATTGATGTGAAGGACTTTGCCTTCACCATAAATGTCAAAGATGCGCCGTCACTTGAATGCTCGATTTAATGCTGTATTGACTGAATTTTAGAAGTACAGTGACCCCCCTCGCTAGGTCATAAGTAAGTTGTGAGTAATTGGACACAACTTTTTTCAGTAATAGCTTTGAAAGATAATAGCTAACGGTCTGTTGCTTTATGTATCTAGTTAGCTGTTAAAGTATTAGTTGGAGACAATTGATATTCGAGTTTTTCAATTTGTGTTGATCTCATTGCATTTAAAACTCATTGCCCTGTCAATTACTGAAAAACAAAAGGTATCTGCGGCTCGGCTCAAGTTTTGCGACTTCACACATCTTATCAGGTACTGTTTTGATAAAGCCTTATAAAACTCACTGCAATCTGAACAATCCACTATTCTGATCTATAGTTTTGAACTGAGCAGCATGTCTAAGTGAAAGTTAATTTGTTTATTTTCTGTCTGCGATAAGTCTGTTTTGCTTGGATCTTGATATTTGCGACTTAGGAAGGGGTCACTGCACAAAACAGTCTGTAAATGTTTTGCAAGTTCTTTCCATCACTGCGCAGTTATTTCAATGGCGTTGAGTGGCCTTTTGTGACTGATACATTCTAGTCCAATCATTGGCTCTGCGAGATGGATAGTTTTTAGTACGATCATTGCTGTGATGTTCAATGGCTCTATGTGAAGGATATGTTCTGGTGCGATCATATTCTGGTCGTTCGTTGGCCCTGCGCGGGGGATATGTGTTTGTACGATCATATTCTGGTTGTTCGATGGCTCTACGTGAAGGATATATGCTTGTACGATCATATTCTGGTTGTTTGATAGCCCTTTGTGAGGGATATGTGCTTGTATGATCATATTCTGGTCGTCCAATGGCTCTGCGTGAGGGATATCTGTGAGTTTTATAATGCCACTCTGAATCAAATGATGGTCCATCATCTGAAAACAAACAAATAAATGTTGGTGACTTACATGCAATATTGCAGCTCTATGCTCCCAATTAGCAACACGCAGCAAACACATTATTTCTAGATCGGACCTACAGAACATATAAAATTGTTAACAGATATTGCAATGCTCCTGGTGTTCTTCTAGTGCAATCAAGAAAAACATCAGGCGAAATATCTTAAATCCCCTGATGTTAGTTTCCATGCCTTTCCTCCAGTGAAAAATCAATTTAATCAACAAGAGTGGGTTACATTGATTCGGCGAGGTGATGACTCAAAGCCCAACAAGTATTCCAGATTTTCTGCTCTACATTGTGTAGGAGGTAGACTGGCCACAGTCGGGGTGATATTTTCCAATATAGGTTTAATTTTTATCCGAGTTATGGGATGGCAATATGTCCGACACATTTATTACAATGAACAGTGATTTTCCTGAACTAGTTGATTCAGGTGATACAACCATGGCTGATTGTGGTTTTAATACAGTAACCCCTCGCTATTAAAGTCGCGCTTCGGTAACTCACGATTGTTGCGGGTAGTTGGATGGCTCCCAGAAATTTTATTCTTTCTTTTTTCTTTTGACTCTTAGCAAGTCATACAAAGAAGTACAACTCAGGCAAGTGGAATCAGCTTAACAACAACAAAAATACTAGAGGCTAGAAAAATTCCTTAGAATGTTGAGAGAGAGATAGAACAGATAAAAACAGATGTTTGCCCATATTCTAACTTTGTCTATGAAAACAGTCTGTACATATAGTTTGTAACAAATAAAAACAAGCAGCCTGTCGGCTGAGATAGCTCCTCTGTACCTATATATGTAATATAAAAGCAATCAGACTTGCGTTTTTTTTAAAAGAAGTCGAAAAATATCACTTTTTACCAAAAATATTCAATAAAATTAGAAAATTGAAGATATCCAAGGTACATATACACCAAGTATCAAAGCATTCAGGCTTGTAGTTTTCAAGTCAAAAAAGTAAAACATTGACACGGACGACAGACAATCACTCATATGATAAGCTTCGCTCGACAAATATGACATGCACACATAATTATTATTGTCAGTGTTTTTTCTATCCCTGGTAATCCCAAAGTGAAATGTAACTGTACATATAACAGTTTTGCACAGCATAAAGGTGCTTACTCGATAATTTATGATTGCCAGGCTTCAAGGGACAAACATTTAATTCATCAGCAAGTTCAATAAGCTTTCCCTTTAGTACATTATTGCAAGTTATGCCAAGCTCCTGGCGGAATTTGTGAAGTTCTGGAACTTTCTTTGAACTAAGATTATTCATGATGTTACGCCTCAGTGATCATTCAAAAACTACTCCACTTAGTGCACCCGCATGCGTTCAAACCTTGAAAGGAGTATGCAAATAGGCAGCCATTAGAAACTTGAAAGTCAGTAATTTGGGCTGTTATATCTCACTAAATCATGACTACAAGCAAGAAAAAATGTATAACAAGTCATTGTCAATGATATACCGTAATATCTGTATTAGAAGCTGCATCTCTAATAGAAGTCGCATCATTTGTTTGTAATAATTGAGAACACAAAATTCATCATTTCTCATATGTGTAAATGCTCTAATAGAAGCCGCATCTCCTCTGTTGCATTGTACCATTTGAATAGAAGCTGCGGCTTTTAATACAGATTTTACAGTAGTTTGTTTGATTATAGACTTGAGATATATAACCTGATGTATGAGTTTAAGCTTGATTGATCCAAGCATGTATGAGATGTATAGCTCTGTGGAACTGTATTCGTTTGAACAAGATGAACACCAGAGAGACATTTTGGATTTGATGGTGAAAAAAATGCACATGCATATGTCCAATCTGATGTATGTGGACCAGGCATGTCAGATATATGAAAACGAAACTTCATTCAAAATGGCTCGCATCCGAACAGGGACTATTAATGTTATCACGATATTGTAATATATGCACACTTAATTATGTACAGGATCACATTAACCTCTGTTACACATTTGTTATTTGGTCTGTTATGACAATTTTCTATTTGTCTTAACCACAATGGTGTATATATGTATATAATGTAGAATACTTTATTTTCGTTTGGAATTAATTTTCGCTATTTTCGCTGAAGGAATGATTCAGTGAAAATAAAATCCAGCGAATATATCTTTTTTCCTATATTTTACATTAAACTCATCAAAAATCAGTTAAAATAAATTCCATACAAAACACCCAAAAAATCTTTTCAGCGAAAATTAATTCCAGCAAAAATAAAGTACTTCACAGTATATTTCACAGTATATGTTATGAAATATTATATCTCACACATTTGTAAAGTGTGAACGCAATACCAAGATTTACCTTCTGTTAAATTGACATAATTGTGATGTTCTCTTTCTTCTCGGGTGTTTCGATATCGAGCTCGTTCTACTATATGACCTCGATCATCTAAAGTAAGACACAACAAGGTGAGAATTAGAAAGCTACTGTATTGGCATTGTACATTTCAAATAACATCTTCTGATAAACACAGCACAACTTTCACTTTAGTTGAAGCATTGAATATTAAATATTCATTGAAATCATAATCAAAGAATGCTTAGAAAAAATTCCCATGTGCTGAAGGTATTGAAGGCATGATTGATGTTAGCACATGTGCTTCTATAAGAGCAAAAACAGCATTTAATCAAAGAAAGATTAAAAAGAACTTCTGTGTGCTGAGAGTATTGGAAGACACATTAATTAATTAATTCAAAAGTACTTGTACTTGAAATATTAAAGCGCGGTAGTTGTGTTGATAAACATTGATTTTCCCACAATCCAAAGTATGAGGTTTGACCTGGGCGCGACTTGCACTGATTACCGCTGGTTACTCCTTTGATACCTTCCAATCACATGAAAATTACCTAATTAAAGCTTGGAAACGTGTCAGTTCGTACTCGTTGATCGTACTTTGTTTATATGAGACCCATATATCTCGCACAAGCGTAACACGACGACTACCACGCTCTAAGTTATTATGCAAATAAGGTAATTAATATGCACAGATTTGAGTGCAAAACTGATAAGGTCTGTGCAATCTTACAGAACAACTACGTACAGAGTTTCATTGAAATTATGAATTATTATGCTAATTAGGTAATTAATATGCACATATTTTAACCCAAAACTAATCAGGTCTGTGCATTGTCCTAGAGCATCTATGTACCAAGTTTCATTGATATTCAATGACTGGTTCTTTCAATATCAGTGGAACAGTCATGGAACAGCTAAGAATTAGATAATGTAAACCCAAAACTAATGAGGTCTGTGTATAGTCCTAGACATCTACCGGTATGTACCAAGTTTCATTGTAATGTGATAATTAGCACTTGAGATATCATGGGAAAATTGGAAAATTATGCAGTTATTATGCAAATTAGGTAATTAATATGCAAATATTTTAATTCAAAGCTAATCAGGTCTGCACAGTGTCCCAAAGCATCTATGTACACTGTACCAAATTTCATCAAAATCCAAAGTATGGTTCTTGAGATATCAGTGAAACAGACAGACAGACATGCACACACACACACACACACACAGACGTACTGCAAAGACCCCCATTGTGTCAAAAACCATGTACATTTTAAACTATGTATACCACAAATGTTAGGCACAGACTAATTCTGCTGCTTTAATTTCTGTGTGAATTGAAGTATACATGCTTAGCAGAATGAAAGGAGGTATATGTACCTGCCGATCCAATCTGATCATCATGAATAAAAGAGATTTTAAATGTGAACAGTTTGGTTTAAAAAATATTTGTATTATTTTAAAAAGTATAAATATAATGTGTTTGTTAACTTAAGTGTAATAAATGGATATACATGTTTTATAAAACCATGAATTTTTTTAATTTTCATGATGTCTCGCTAGCCAATCATCTATGTGTACTTTATATGGTCTATTTTGGAACTTACTGCTGCACACACACAGACTGGGTTGTTATTTTCAGAAGTGTGTATTCATCACAGCCATCATTCTGATTGGTCATCAGCAAATTTATAAATATGTTTATAAAATGTAAATATTAGAAACAACATTCTGTCTGAGTGTTTTTATACTGTAATCAAAGTGGATTGCAGATAATTGAGGTGAACACAAAAGTCGGTTTGACAGGGTGATTTACGTCCCTTGAAAGTGCTCTCTGTCGACTGAGTGGTATTGTAATCCGCGGAAATGGTAGATCATGTGATAACGATGACCAATTGAATGGAATACCAATATTGGCATTCCACACATGTGTACAATGAAGTTGGACAGAGGGGCATTAAGATACAAATAAGTATGTCTATTTAAAATCGTGCACATTCAGTAACCTTCAGTAACCTTATAAGTAGCCATGCATAGAACTTATTTACTGTAAAATACTTTATTTTAGCTGGAATTAATTTTCGCTGAAAAGATTTTTTGGGTGTTTTGTATGAAATTTATTGTCACTGATTTTTGACAAGTTGAATGTAAAATATAGGAAAACAGGTATATTCGCTGGATTTTATTTTCACTGAATCATTCCTTCAGCGAAAATAGCGAAAATTAATTCCAAGCGAAAAATTTTTACAGTATTTAACATGCAAATATTTATACAACAAATAATAATTAACAGCCAATTAAAAACAGCTATGAGAATGAAATGATTTTGAGTACATATTAGACAAGCAAAGTACAGATTTATAAATTCTACTCCATGTGTGATAGTCTTACCAATGTGATGTCCCACTGCCACCTTTTCCAGACCAAGAGCCGAGTCACGCAATGCTTTTTTGGTTTCTTTTAACTACGTAATGAGATGAAATGAATTGATGATTACAGCTTTAAAATGAATTAACAAATGATAAAATTTCCTCTTTATACGACACGTATATAGTCAACTGTCCTTCTCTGGGTTATTTGATTACTGCAGACTGTGATGAAAAAATTTTATGGTTAGGAGAGTTTTCAATTTGCCAAAGTTCGCCAACAAACCAAAGGTATAATTACACTTTTTCAGGCTAACAGGAGTGTTTTATTTAAGCAGTGCATTTTAATTTATGGGGTCACTGCAGTGATGTGTTTGTCTCAGAAATACACAAAACATCAAAGAAACCAGAGAGCTTTTACAATTGACGTAGTGTTTATTCCACCAGTTCTGAGCTCCATTTAAAGCAATCGCAAGTTTTTGCATATCAATACACTCTTGTGACATACCATATAACACACAATATTACAAAAGTATGGCCTAACACATGAAATAAAGTAGTCCAAAAATATTTTATAGACACATTTAACAATTTGATCAACATTTTTTTGAGGATCTGCTGTTAGAAATGCACATTTCAATTAGAAATTAGAATTAGATTTCAATTGCAGAAATCACCTATATGTATATAATATTAAATCAATCAGATGTGTGGTTTTCATCTGAAAGTTAAAAATATCACTTTTTACTGTGAAAAAATGTCTATCAAATATAGAGAATTACAGATATCATCACAAAATGAGACAAATCTAAGAAAGATCTACCCAAGTTACTTATACACCAAGTATCAAAGCAATCTGCTAGCAGTTTTCAAAAAAAAGTTAAAAAAAGGTGACGCGGACGCCAACGAACAACAAAAACGATGGACAATCACAAATATGATGAGCTCTGTTCAACAAAGTCAACAGTGGAGCTAATAAAAAGCATACACTCTGAAATTGTTACCATGACATCAATATAATTATATAGGAAAGAGGTCATAGGATACATGTACATAAGACACTTTTAGTTTTTGAATAAGCATTGACAACTTGAGAGCACCCATTGTTTTGTAACTGTTTTTTGCCAGTCACAAAAAACCATGAAATATTACGTAACAGTAACTATTTCACTTGGGTTCTTAAAATTATAATAAATTATAATTATAATTGTTTAATGTTTGGTACGTGGGATGGATTCTGAATTTTTACTTTCAAAATCTCAATCAAACTTTTTCACTCTATCCACAGTCAATTTCTTTGAATTGTGTGTTCTGTGCAGCACTAATGATATGCTAGCCTGGAATCCAGTCATTTCAAGTACATTCAAGAATGGCCAGGTGAATCACTATGCAATTATATAACTGACAAAGAATTCTGTGTCATCACTGATTGGCTGTCTCCATGATTTCATTTCCATGGGAACTCACATGATCAGTCTGACCCATCCGTGAGGCCTCCCCACAATACTACAGACAAATTCACTACCCTAGACTAGTAGTCATAGATTTTTTAAAAATCTTAAGACCATCGATGACATCTTGTCTAATGATGACTATAGACTAAAAGATGTTAATAATTTATTCATTCGTGAAATACAGTTTGGAAAGAAGGTGTCCTGTTTCCAGAACAATCTATAGAGGACTATGGTTTAGGGTATAAATGCAGCCAGCGCTGTAAACATTTTTTGTTTAAATGATAATGTACAAAGTAGGATGAATATACTTACTCCTCCAGGTGCTGTTTTAGTGGAAGATATAGCTTGGTATAACTGGGGTTCTTTATCGAAACACTTTGAATACTGGGTTACAGACGACTGTCGGAATGTACGAGCATTAGGATTATGCTTCAATTGCTCCTGCAAAAGAAACCAACAAATCCAATTCAAAATCCAATCAAATACATTAACTGTATTTATAACCCTGTTAGCATCACATATCGATAACAGAAGTTATAGTTTAATAATCCAGTCAATATCAATATAAAATAAATTTGGTTTAATATATGCACTTCTATTAGAGACAAACAATTATACAGTAATTGAAAAATTAAAATTAACATTATTTTAAAGTCATTGAATCTACATGTATATTAGACATCCATCAACAACATCAATTAAAGTTTGACATTAAATTTCAGTTTATTAAATTAAATCAACTAAAAATCTATTAAATATGTACCAATTAAATTATGGCAGAGATATATACATAGTTTGAATAGGATTTAACTAATTTGTACGGTGGCTAACACGAATCAGAGGTTACATCCAATCAAATTGTGTTGTGAATACATATAGCTCTTATCTTTATAATTCAATGTTGATTGCCTATCTTTAAATGTGTACAGCACATGATATGAATACATTTATCTGCCAGCTATTGTAAGTGAATCCTGCTGTAAACTTACAAAATTTTTGTTGAACATATCCACCATAGATTTCATATATTGATTACTGGTCACAGTGGGGTTAATAATATCCATATCATTCATCATGCGACTCATCGTGGAAAAACCATCCTCAAATGTACCAAATGGCTGTACGGCACCAGACTCCTGCAATAAATGTTATGCATATTAATTAGGTCACATGACTACATATGGTCATTTGATGTTAGTCGCATCTCTTGTCCAATGCCTTCATTATAGCACTGATTGCATGTCATCTGCAGCAGTGTGAAATACATTAAAGTTATGCATATTAATGAGGTCACATGATCCTATTTATACAAGATGGGTAATTAATATACATGGATTTCGACCCTGAAGTAAACAGATCTGTGGATTATCCAAAAGCATCTATGTATCAATTTTCATTGAAATTTAATGAGTTGTACTCAAGATATCAGTGAAACAAACACATACACAGACGCACTAACCACAAAGAGTCCCATTGTTTGCTTTGAACACAGAAGTGAAAATACAAGATACCATATTTGTAAATTACAGACTGAGTTTTTTCTATGGTTAAAATATTAAAAGTCGCAAACATTAATATTGTTATTAATTTCGAAGTTATCATTGTTATATTCAATGTTACGGTGATACTGCCGATATCCAAGTAAAATGCATAAATTATGTTAATTAGGGTCAATCTACGTCCACACGTGGTCGGTATTGACCAATCAGTGTTTGTTTGTTTATGCAGTTCAATTTCTGTTTATTTATCGCGTTCCTGTTCCAGGCGACATTTTTCTTACTGCTGTATTTTTACTGGAGTCAATTTGAAATAAATGGTATACAGGTTGTAATTGTATATTCATCGGAAAACCTAACCGAGTCTGTATTTCTGTGACGCTATTCACAGATTTAGTATACAACTAATACTGTTTTTGGTTTATGCAAATTTCTATCAGAGCTGCTCTTCAAATAGAATGACTAACGATATGGATTATTCCCCAGCATAATTTTATGAAGATTATACACACCCCGATGAAATTGTTTATCACATCAACATGTTTATTGTCAGTATCATAAACAAGCAGACAGGTCAATACTTATTCCGACTTCCTGTTCGATGTAAGCTACCGGTACTCCTATTACTACATGTACCGGTATCATGCCAAGATCTAGTTTAACACCTGATTTTGAAGTGAAAGTTTTGTTAAATCTCTATCAAAGAGATAATTTAGTTGTAGTTCTAGTTATGAAATTAAATTTAAAATTAAACTTTTCGAAGGTCACAAAATCTAGCCATGATTATGGGAAGTATACACGAAGTGAATATTATGATTGATGAATGTCAGTAAGCATTCTGTAAATACGTGAACAATTTTTTTTTATATGTTAATACTAGTAATACAATATTCCCTGTGTTCAGGATAAGCATATTTTTGCAATTTTAAAAGGACTATATAATAACTTTATTACACAACTGCACCATCGGTGGGTGCTGTATGGTAAGGATACAGATCTGAAAAAACAAACACAAATAAACAAAAACAACAAAAGTTTCAAAATTACAAACAAAACAAACTAAAGGGTATATATAATATACGTATTACAATTAGATTTTATAAATTGTGTTTCTTAAGTATTTTGCAAGTGCAGTAATACTATTTAAAATGCAAGTGAATATTGAATTTCGGTTAGCTGTATTACACATTTTTAATTTACAGTCTTCTAAGAGGGTATTTCTTTCTTGAGTGAAGAAGCAACAGTTAAGGATGAAATGTTCTTCATCTTCTACAGTACCTGAGTTGCATTTTTTACACAATCTGTAGTTTGCCTCAATTCTTGAGAATTTTCTCCTGCCTAATTCTATTTCCAAATTATGGTCACTAAGTCGAAACTTGGTAACCATTCTTCTCAAATTGAAGTCCTGAATTTCTGTTAAATATCCTTCAAATTCATATTTCATTTTAAACAAATTATACATTCTTAATTTGTTTCCTGAATTTCCGTTTTTTAGGACATACTATCCTGGATGAACATTTGTTGCTAGTAGATACATATTTGTGAAAATGTTGGTATCCAAATTTTGTTTTCACTTGTATACTTGCCTTTTCTCTGTATCGTCCATCTGTAATAGCTGGTCTTTGCAAATCCCGTTTCCTATCCTGGTAGTCCAACCCTCTTGATAAAGTGTGTATAGGATCCAACTGTCTATCAAATTGTTCCATTACTCGATCAAACTCTTTTGTACGATCACTGATATAAAAAATAGTTAGAACAAAACTTAATTAATAACAGTAAAATATCATAATCCTACATTTGTGTTGTATTAAACATTTCCTATACTAAAAATAAATTGATTTTCATTAGGTTTCAGTTTAGCTTGCTTATAACCTGTTCTACGTAGAGAACATTTTTTGAAATTTATTTATTCACTTTTTTCAGACGGCAACATTGATGTCGCATGTACTGTTGTCTCTCCTGGTACATTTTGCCATTGTAACAATTCTCCTATGTTTGGGACCACGTGAAAAGTCTGCGTTTCTATCGTTGCATAATTACAGCAATTTAATATGCTATCCCGGCAACAATTCCCAGCTGAAACACCTGTGGATTCCCTCAAAGTCACTTTCATTAGTGATGAATCTTGGGCAGTGGATTTAGGCTCCCCATTGAGTCTACTCAGCAAGAGTAGAGAAAATAAAAAAATTGGCTTCCTCATTGATTCTATTGCACACTCACCAAGGGTAGAGTGGATACAAAAAATTGGCCTCCTCACTAAGTCTGTGGCCTAGGGGGGATCATCCATTTTTGGTGTACAATCCCAAGTAGGATTTTAATTCTACCAATGCAAAGAATGTTATAAGAATAGTGAAAACTTAATAGCCCAGAGACTATTTCAACCCATTTTAGCAAGCAGCATTTTTTCATACGAAGAAATGCTTTCACCATAGAAACCAATGCAAAAACTGAGATTAAGGGACTTTTGTTTACTGTAATGATTTGCTTGGTTTTATTTTCGCTTGTTCCACTAACAGCTACATTTTCTAAATGAAATTGTTATTGTTTCCTTCACAAACCAGTGAATCTGAATATTTCATCTCAACATCAAATTGGTTAAAATAAACTTTGTTTATTTTTTTTTTTAAAATAATTAATGAAAGTATTTGCCGATAATGACATATACTTTTAAATTCAGTGAGAACCTCCTTAAGTATACATAGCTGAATAACTGTGACATTTTATGGCCCAACGTTGTCATGGTGACAATGGGCCACTTAACAGCGAACAATGCACATTAATACGTCTGCGTAAATTCCACAAGTTTCCCCTTCCATGAGACAGTACTAATACTATTCTGCAAAGTTTTCTGGAAAGTCGTTGACAAGTCACACTCGACAATAAACGCCAGTGTTCTAATTGAATATGAACCTGCAGTTTTATGCTCAAAATATTATCTGAAACGTTTACCTTTCGCTTAATACCTCCGGGCCATATCACAAAAAGCATTACGTCATTGAAACTTTTAAATTCTTCCGCGGAAAACAAAAAACAAACGCAAACTAACCCGAAATCCCCGAAGAAGGAATCGGAGAATTCTTCTGGCGCCAGATGTATATTATTGCCGATCATTTTGAAGACTGTCAACAGTATTAGCAATAGCGATTATTAACAGGACTTTCGACACCCGCGTCGTTTTTCTACACGAGACCAGAAACTTCGTGCCACTCAATTTTTGTTTTGATTGAGTCATATCGCCCTCTATCAAAATTGTCCTCGAAAAGCATAAATATATACACATTGAAAGATATTTATTCATTTTTTAAATTTTTATTTCAACTTATTCAATATGATATAATAATTATTGGTACATTATTTCTAGAAGGGTTTTGCCAATATATGAACATTTCCAATCAAAAACTTAAAACAACTATTACTATTGTTGAACGAGGATATTTGCGCATGCTCAGAAGTTTCTAGAATTTTCGTAGCTTTTCTATTTATTTGTAAATCGATGAGAAGATTGTTGTTCACTTTCAGAGATTGAGTGTGCCTGTGCGATTGTGATAAAATATTGCAACGCTTGTGAATTAACCGACTTGATTCAACATGTTGCGAGGATTTGGAGGATTCGACGATGACCCTTTCTTCGCTGATTTCAGGTAATATTGTGTTCGCAACCGACGTATTCATTTTTACGATTTTGATATTTAAATAGTGCAATTTTATTTGTAAAATTATAAGTGTATGTACTACGCATAGTGACTTAGGAATATAAATTCATAATGCATCTTAAGTATGCTTTCCTCTCTCCATTAAAATAAAAATAATTCTTGAAAAAAAGAAATTTTGAAACATTCACTATTTTTTTAATTGACCTGAAATGGCGCAGCAGTGGCAGTATTAAAAGGTACAAAGGAAAACAAATACAATATATACCACCCAATGTTTAAGAAATCATATTATGCAGTTAAAATATCATGTATTTGTGTAGATGAAAATGGTTTGCAGGTTTTCAGAACGTTTATCATATTTCAAATGACCAAACATACGTGAAAGTCAACGCTGGTTTACAAATGTACGTGTTTACGATTGAATGCTGAAAATGTAATATTAAGTTTTCAATATATTATCACAGTCCCTCAACAAAAAGGGACTGTGATATATATAAATATGCATCTAAAATTCTTTATGTATTCAGTGGCAAAAATTTACATAATTTGTTGTAGTCAAAACTAAAAATAATGTATCTTTTGATGACGGAATTTGTGAAATAAATTCGTTTAATTTGACGAGGCATCAAGGCATTCAAATATTCATCTACGCAATTCAATTATTGCTTTTACGCAATCGCTTTTAAGTTTATTTATAAAAAAAATTAATAAATTAATTTGAGTATGGTTTCTTATTTAGAAATAATAATTTTTCCTTTGGTAATATTTTCATATGCAATCCACAATCCACTGTGGGTCCATAGCTCTTCTTGTGTCTGTTTTTAGTCTTAATTGGTGGTATTTTAATTATTTTCGGACTTTCGGATTTTTATCAACATACAACCTTCTATGCACATATTATACATGTTTATTAAAACATTGTTTATATTACAGGGAACAACATCGTCAAATAAACAGTATGTTCGACAACTTTGGCTTTGGTTCAATGCTTCACAGAGATCCATTCATGGCGCTTACTGATGGCCGTACCACTACAGGCCTGCAGCAAAGACATAACAGACATCCTGTAAGTTCTACTGTAAAATACTTTATTTTAACTGGAATCAATTGTCTCCGAAAAGACATTTTGGCTGTTTTGTATGACTTGTTTTTTTCACTGAATTTTGGTGATTTTTCCAATGTAAAATATAAGGGAAAAAAATTATTTTTACTGGATATTATTTTCACTGATTATCTCTTCAGTGAAAATAAATTCCAAGTGAAATTAAGTATAGTATTTAAGTATTTTTGGCTATTTCAATGGTTTTTGTATTGTTAATATCATCCAATCATATCCCCCCCCCCCCAACTGGTTTGGCCGTAGGGGTGTTGGAGATTTCTACAGGGAGAATTTAATATGGATAATTCCCAACTGCTTGGGAAAGTGTTATGAGAGTGTTATGAACACAGGGTGTTTGTAATAATCCTCGGGGCGGACACCCAGGCATTTTCACCGCCTGGCAACCCGCGGCGGTGAAAACAAAGGCCCAAAACTCGCAGAAAACGGTACTTTGGGGTGATTGTTGAGACTCCTCTGAACAGTGCAACAAGATTAGCCCTACGTGTGCAACATATATAAATTTGGTTGTTCAGGATTACTTCAAAGTTGAGTTTGTGTTGTTTTCTCGAATTTTCACCGGCTCGACCAGTGTTCCACAGCAGCGCGCACAGAGCCCATAGAAATGCATGGTACAGTGGTGCGCGTCTTAGCAACGTGGAACGTCTGTGACGTAGCTCCGCCCCGAGGATAGCATATAAAAAATAGAAATAATTTGTCTTCTATCTACTTCTCCTGTATAGGACCGTTTTTCAATAGCCTTACTATCAATAATCAAGCATTTATTCTAAGTTTGTGTCATCTGTGTTACCTTGAAAGTTGTGGGATGAAGAGCAAGACTGTCGTGAGTGTTGCTATTGGGATAAAGAACTGTTACCTGTCTCGCTAGACCTGAGGTCAAATAAAGAGTTGATACCTACCTTTAACCCTTTGTGCACCAAAGTCAAATTTTTTCACCATTCACTAATTTTAAAAAACATCCTAATTTTTCAATTGCAACTTGAACCAAGTGAGTAAGTGATTTTAAAGGTTAATACCAAGTGCATACATGATTGATAACAGTTTTTTCTTTCTTATCAAGGGAGGAAGTGCTATGGCTCCGTTTGGTATGTTTGATGACATGTTTGCAAATATGAACAACATGATGACATCTATGCATCAAAATTTTGTAAGTATTGATAGTCATAATATAAGGATAGCTGTGCATGCCTTTGAAGTTGTCTTACCACAGCATGTTTAAAGCGCGGTAGTCGATATATGGGTCTCATATAAACAAAGATGGCAACTTTGACTGTTGCGCAAATCAATGAGTACGAACTGAGACTTTCCTAAGCTTTAATTAGGTAATTTTCATGTGATTGGAAGGTATCGAAAGAGTCACCGGCAGTAATCAGTGCAAATCGCGCCCAGGTCAAACCTCATCCTTGTGATTTCCATTTGAAGAGCGCACTGGATTGTGGGAAAATCAATGTTTATCAATACAAATGTCACACATGCGCAGCGCAACGACTGCCGTGCTTTAAAATGAGACCCACACAACATGCACAGTGCAGTGTAGTGTACATTCAAGAATTTCAAACCTGAGCGTGTGGCTCATTGATACACCTGAATAGACCATTTTCCGTTCAGTGCGGGATCTCAGGTTATGTGTGGAATTGAATGTAAAACAGAACAAAAGTCATAGTGGTGTCAAACATCGCATGGGATTTGACAAATGCAAAGTATTTTGGGGGATATTTCCACGCTTAATAATGTGCTGTACACATTTGGGGGTGGTCAATTTCGATGAAGTAAGGGTTTCTAAACGAAATATTTCCCTGTTAAGGATCAGCCTTCGAATTTGAGCTATGAAAAAAGAAATTAAAGTTCAAAATTGTCAGTTTTTTGAGGCAGACGTTCGGGTCGCGTCTTTACACGAGATCGCGCAGTTGAACGGAAAATCACATTCTGACTAAAGGCTTCTATATTATATTACCCAATTTGCTGTAATAGAAGTGCATGTCTTAAATGAAAGGTGTGTTCATGGTCAAATTAATTTGAATCATCCAGTGTATATTAAGTGCAAATTGTTACGGTGTTAACATTTTTTGTGTCCCTTTACGCAAGCGTAAGAGAAAAACAGATGTGAACAACATATTTAATTTTTATCAGTTGTCTGTCAAAGTAAGCACTAAACAAACATCTATGTCTAATTTGTATATTAGATATGTGTAGATAACAACATTGACCGAATTATAATTGTGTGGCTTCTATGGCTAAGCATATCAGACTGCCATATATTTAAAAGGCCTGAAATAACACTGCAGTCTCTGACAATTTTAATTCTAAGCCGATAACATACAGTAGAACCTCAACTATCTAAACAATGATTGTTAATAATTTTGCAATTTCGTGTGTTCAATTATCCGAAATATCGATTATCATAACATATTTAGTTCTACTCAAGAAATTGAGTTACTATGTTTGCTTTATGAGAAGTGCGTCTTCAATAGAGGCACACACAATCCACAAATTGTGTTTATTGCATGCAGGATCATTTAAATACGACCTATTTTGACCATATGTCACAACTCTCATTTTTCTAAGTACAAGCATTACTTATAGAACAAATATGGTAATTGTGGTTTGAGTGTACATTTAATGAATATAAATTCTGTGTTAAAGTTGTTTTATACTTGTACAAGTTCTCAGTTTCACCATTATGAATAATTCCATGACTAACGTTAATTTTTACTGCTAGGATCGTGGAATTTCTACAAATCCAAATGCACATACATATAGCCAGTCATCAGTGATGACATATTCCAATGTTGGAGATGGTGCTCCTAAAGTGTATCAGGCTTCAAGCTCTACAAGAACTGCACCTGGAGGGGTAAGTAGAACAGCTGAATTTGAGATATTACTAAAAATATAACATGCATGAACGTGAGAACAATGTGTGCAAACCCAACTGTGTTACTTTCCTGTAATTTTTTTTTTGGGTGTGCGCGATTTGTTGAGAATTCTAAGGAAGTGTATTACCTGTACTAAGCCCTTGAGAAATTTCAATGCTACAAATTATAAAAACATTTTTCGCTTTTTTAGTTTGGGTTTTACTTATTTGTAAGAATCAAATGTCCTTGTGAATAGTTGTATGGTGAATTGCATTGTGATGTCATTTTGAATAAACACTTAAGATCTCCCATTTCCACATTTATTCTACAATTCTACTTTTGGAGTCAGAAACTCTGTTTAAATAAAACATGCTATCTGGGCTATCTATTTTCATTTGGCATAATCCACTTCTGTAAAGTACAAATATCTCTTGAAGGCTTCACTTTACTGAAAGTTTTTGATGCGAGGCATGCATGTTTATCATTGGTAGTAATACCACTAAAAGATATCTGAATTTGTTAATATCTAGACATGATCCTAAAAATAAATGGAAATACTCATCAGATAAATTTATTAATTTTACTGGTATTTGTAATGCAAATAAAAAAAAAAGGGATTGAAATTATATGGCAACAGATGCAGGGTGGCGTGGTCACTGATCTCAGAATTTTGTAGCTGCTGTCTGCATAGCTGTCCATTTTTAATAGAAAAATATGTATATATAGCACACTATGTCTTTGTTTTTAAGTAGCGGCATATTTTAAAAATCAATGACATTGGTTGATGTATTCAGCTGACATCTCTGGTGGTCCTATTTCATTATATTTTATTGTCTGGAGTAGTTGGCCAGGTGTTGACAGTCACTAGGCTGCTGAAACACCTGATGGGCAGGCTGCCTACCTAAGACCTCTTGTGGAGAATACTGGTTTTGAATCTGAGGCTGGCTTCATGCTTATCAGAACCAGGCAGTACTGTGGGAAATGGCATTTGATTGCCACTGCTTACATAGATCAGGAGAACAGTGGATGTGATGACAGGATAGAATGAAACACTATATGAGAAGCAACAACTAATATCGTGGCTCTCTTGCTCTCCACAAGATTTCAGAAGCCATTTGTGTCTATGGTCTATTAGAAATGCAGGCGAGATAACAATGTGTAATATGATATATAGCTAGGAACTGTTTCTAGGTTTAACCATCATTATCTCTTCAATCACAGATAAAAGAAACCAGAAATTCTGTACGTGACTCCCAAAGTGGGACTGAACGAATGGCAGTTGGACGACATATAGGTAAGGTATTTGAATGGTTGTATTATATATTAAGATAGCCACTTGATAAAATCTTTTTAGTACAGTCTACAGTAGGAATGCGTGTTTTGTGTTTGCATAATATATACATGTAATGTTAGCAAGCCATTGATATAATCTAGTCTGATGCCACCTTTGTCCCTGTTTATTGTTGCATATGGTTGCTGAGGGAATCTGGCTGATTTTAGTACCGTATTACCCCGGCCACGCACCCAGGGGCCTGAACATACAAAATCGGGAAAAATTGGGGGTGGGCGCTTACCCGAGGACCACCCCAAAAAAGATTTTAAAAAGTTGTTTTTGTGATCGTATGATAAGGTCAAATAAAGGAATGCTTTCGTACACTTTGTACACAAACTTATTTCTTGATTTATGCGAGGTTTCAATAAATGTGAGCACTCGGGCAAGAACTGTGGGAACACTAAGACACAGGGTTGAATTTCAAGAATAAAACTTGTTT